TTTATTGTGGTAATCATCATGCAACATATACATATATCAAATCATTATGCTGTATACTTAAATTTATGTTTTCTGTCAATTATATCTAGTAAAACTGGGGCAAGCCCTCAGCTAACATCAATGGTGGAAAGTTGAAAGCTTTTCCTTTAAGATCAGGAACAAGACAAGGATGCCCACTCTTGCCATTTTTATTCAACATGTTATTAGAGCTCCTAGCCAGAACAATTAGGCAAGAAAAAGAAATAAAATGCATCCAAATTGGAAAAGAAGAAGTAAAAGTATCATTATTTGTAGATGACATATTATATATAGAGAAAATCCTAAAGACTGAATAACACCAACAACCAAAAATCCCGTTAAAACTAATAAATAAATTCAGTAAAGCTGTAGGATACAAAATCAATATACAAAACTTAGTTGCATTTCTACAATAATAATAAGCTATGAGAAATAAAAATTAAGAAAACAATCCCATTTACAATTGCATCAAAAAGGATAAAGCACCTAATAATAAATTTAACCAAGGAGGAGTAAGACCTGTACACTGAAAACTATAAGACATTAATTTTTTTAAAACTGAAGAAGCACGAATAAACGCAAAGCTATTCCATGCTCTTGTATTGGAAGAACTTATTGTTAAAATGTCCATAATACCCAAAGCAATCCACATATTTAATGCAATCTCTATCAAGATTCCAATGGTATTTTCCCAGAAATAAGATAAACAATCCTAAAATTTAGATGGAACCACAAAGACCCCAAATGGTCAAACAATCTTGAGAAAGAAGAACAAAGCTGGAATTATCATGCTTCTTCATTTCAAACAATATAACAAAGCTAAAGTGATCAAAATAATATGTTATTGGCAAAACAAACAAACAAACAACCAAACAAACAAAAAACACCAGACATATAGATCAATGGAACAGAATAAAGAGTCCAGAAATAAACCCATGCATATATGGTCAATTAATTTATGACAAAATAGCCAAGAATGCACAATGGGGGAAAGACAGTCTCTGAAATAAATGGCGCTGGGAAAACTAGGCAGCCATATACAAAAGATTGAAACTGGACCACTATCTTAAACCATATACAAAAATCAACTCAAGCCCAGCCAGTGTGGCTCAGTGGTTGAGCATTGACCCATGCACCAAGAGGTCGCAGGTTCAATTCCTGGTCAGGGCACATGCCCAGGTTGTGGGCCAAATCCCCAGTAGGGGGCATGCATTAGGCGGCCAATCGATGTTCTCTCTCATTGATATTTCTATGTCTCTCTCCCCTTCCTTCCTCTCTCTCTAAAATCAATAAAGAAAAAAAAGGCAACTCAAAATGGATTAAAGACTTGAACATAAAACCATAAAACCCTTAGAAGAAAACATAGGTGGTAAGCTCTTTGACATTAGTCTTGGTGATGATCTATTGCAAAGGCAATAAAAACAAAAATAAACAATTGGGACAACATAAAACAAAAATGCTACTGTACATCAAAGAAAATCAGCAACATAGCTAAGATCTGGAAACAGCCCAAGTGTCCATCAGTAGACGAATGGATAAAAAAGCTGTGGTACACATACACAATGGAGTACTATGCAGCTGTAAGAAAGATCTCTTATCCTTTGAGACTACATGGAGGGACCTGGAAAGTATTATCCTAAGCAAAACAAGCCAAACAGAGAAAAACAGGTATCATATGATCTCACTTATTTGTGAAATATAATGAACATAACAGTGTGAGGAATGGGGTAGTCCCAGAGACATGGAAGTGGGGTACAGACTAACAATCCCCAGAAGAGGGGGAGGTAGGGGAGAGATAAACCACAGAACTTATATGCACATATGCATGAACAATGGACATGGACAACAAAGCTGGGGACAGGGCAGGGAGGGAGAGGGAGGGGGGAATCAGTGGGGTGGGGGAGAAACATCTGTAACAAAAATAAATAAATTTAAAAAAAAGAAAAAGAAAATCACCAACAAAGTTAAAGGCAACCCATCAAATGGGAGAAAATATGTGAAGATCATATATCTGATAAGACATTAATATCCAAAATATATAAAGAACTCATATAACTCAAAAGGAAAAAAGTAATCCAATTAAAACATAGGCAGAGGATCTCAACAGACATTTTTCCAAAGAAGACATCCAAATGGCCAACAGGTACACGAAAGAAAAAGTGCTCAATATCACTAATCATCAGTGAAATACAAATACAAAACCATAAGGACATACCACCTCACACTTATTAGAATGGCTACTAGAAGGGGAAAAAAAGAAACAAGAAATAGCAAGTGTTGGCAAGGATGTGGGGAAAAGGAAAACTCTTGTTCACTGTTGGTGAGATTGTAAATTGGTACAGCCACTATGAAAAATAGTATGGAAGTTCCTCAAAAATTAAAAATAGAACTACCATATAATCCAGCAATTCTACTTCTGGGCATTTATCAAAGGAAACAAAAACACTAACTTGAAAAGATATATGTGCTCCGACAGTCAATGCAGCATTATTTATAATAGCTCAGCCACAGAAACAACCTAAGTGTCCATCAAGGGATGAATGGACATAGAACATTAAGTGTATTATAGCATCTTCATGTCATGAAATATTTTGAAACCACTGTAAATGCTATTCATTAAGAGGTTGAATAATTCACCAAAATGTTTGTAATTATTTTAAGTTAAAAGGAAAAGCAAAATTACATATATGGTATAAATATAATAATATAAAAATAAGCATAGAAAAAAGGCTGGGACTGATGCCAACAAGTGACTGTCACTATGTGTACGCAAATGCATGTATGCACACACACACACTGAAATATTATTCATCCATAAAAAAGAAGAAAATTCTGCTATTTTCAACTACATGGATAGAACCAGAGTGTATTATGCTAAGTGAACTAGGTTACACAGAGAAAGACAAATAGTGTATGATCTCACTTCTACATAGCATCTAAGAAAACCAAACTCGTAAAAACAGAAAACAAATTGGTGGTTCCAAGAGACAGCGGCTGGGTGATAGACAAATGGGTGAAGGTGGAAAAAAAGGTACACACTTCCAGTTATTTATTTTATAAATTGTTTATTTTATAAGTCATGGGAATGTAGGTACAGCATGGCGACTACATTTATTAATATATTATATACTTGAAAGTTGTTGAGAGTAGATCTTAAAAGTTCTCATCACAAGAAAAAAATTGTAACAATGTGTGATGAAAGATGTTAACTAGATTTATTGTGATAATTTCATAAAATAGAGGCAAATATCAAATCATTATGTTGTACACTTGAAGCTAATATAATGTTACATGTCAATTATATCCTAATGCAAAGATTTTTAACTGAGAGGAAAATTGATAAATATAAATAAATAAAAATATTTTTATTTCAAGTGCTGATAAGAATACTTACTATTTATTAAAGATAAACAGACAAAGATATAAAACTAAAAAGAAAATAAATTAAATAAACTAGTTTTAAAATTTGATGAAATTAAAATTTTAACAAATTCTATCTTAAAATTAATTAAAAATTTTTCAAAATTAGAATAGTTAATGCTGTCAATGGCAGCTTAAAATGGAAATTCTCATATACCTCTGTTATAAATGGAAATTGCTACAACCTTTTAAGAAAGTACTTTGGCAATAGACATAATGAATTTTACAAGTTTTTAATCTTCTTAACTCAATAATACCATTTGTGGAATCTATTCTAAGAACATTAGTTAGAATAGAAGGATTTCTCTGCACTCTTATCTTATGAAAACAAGAAAATTGAAAACACTTATAATGCCTAACAATAAAAAGTAGTTAAGTGTATTATAGCATCTTCATGTCATGAAATATTTTGAAACGATTTTAAATGCTGTTTGTTAAGAGTTTTAATAATTCACCAAAATGTTTATAATTATGTTAGGTGAAAAGGAAAAGCAAAATTATATATAGTAGAGTATAAAAATATTAAATAAGCATAGAAAAAAGGCATGGAATGAAGCCAAAAAGTGACTGTCACTATGGAATAAGACTAAGCAAATTTTCTATTTTCTGACTTTCTGCACTTTGGTTTGTTTTTTGTTTTGTTTTTATCCTCACCTGAGGATATTTTTCCATTTTTTGTACAGATAGAGTGGGAGGGAGAGAGAGGAAGGGAGAGAGAGAGGAACATCGACGTGAAGGGACACATCGAGTGGCTGCCACCCACACGACCAACCAGGGCCGGGGACAAACTGCAACCGAAGTACGTGCCCTTAGCGGGAACTGAACCCGGGTCTCTCTGGACCGCAGGCCGACGCTCTAACCGCTGAGCCAAACTGGCCAGGGCTGCACTTTTTACATTTAAAATAACAAACCATATTTTACTTCTGTAAAGGGAAAAATAAACTGTATTCTATTAAAAAGCCTCATACTCAAGTATACCCCTTTTACTCCTAAATACCAAATAATGGGTAATATTTGCAACAGTCAGAGAAACCGAAGAGCTGGGCACAGACCAGGAGTGTGAGTTTGGTCATGAAAGAATACTGAAAAAAGACACCTATATCTGATTCAGAGTCCCAGAGTCCCAGGAAGTATCCTAAGAACAGAAGGAAAAGGCAGAGTATGGAATTGAGACGGAGACATCGGGGTTCATGGATAGAGACCATGAAGACCAATTGACATAGGCATCAGTAACCCAGACAAATAGACTAAGGAAAACAGTGTTGGTTAGGGAGTGGTCAGAATAGAACTGCAAACATTGGAAGAACAGACAAACTTCCCACTGAACCATATTTGGTCTAAATGTGAGAGTGAGCACAGGTGGACAGGAAGTATAATAGGTGAGGGTACTTAGCATCCTTACCCTGACCCAGAGTCAGGCCTCTCATCCACCAGGTGTGGAAAGCCCAATTTTGTCTACCTTCCCTCTTATGACATTGGATTGTTTCAACCTGAGGTAGGATACAGGTGGCTATCAAACCAAAAAGTCCTTTCACAAATGAAAATATAAAAGTGAAACTCACCAGTCAAAGCCATGATATTCATTTTTGGTTTCTATCCACACGAACAGCAAAACTGAAGACATGCAAAATGCAATAACCAGAAATGGGTAAAATAATTTCTCTCTCTGGAAAGAGAAAAAAGGAAGTCGAATTTAAGTCTATGTATCCATGTTACCTCAGCAATATCTGAATACACTTGCCAAAGCTCTGTATAGTTACAAGGTCATGCATTACTCTTTCAGGCTGCAGTGAACACTATTATTGTTTTTACCCCTATGGAATTTTGTACAAGCCTATTTATAATACTGAACTGCAATTATGTGTTTACATGTTTGTATCTGTTGTGACAGTTTCTACTCTGAGGAAAAGGAACCTCTGTTACAAATCTCTATTACTATATCTAGCTTAGTTCCTTAAATGCAGTTGGCTCTCAACAATTGTATGATGATTCATCCATCTCTCCATCTACCAAATGTTTGTTTGATGACTCATTCAACTGAGTAATTCATTCATTCACTGTTCATCAGTTCCAGCGGTGGGGAACCTTTTTTCTGCCAAGGGCCATTTAGATATTTATAACATCATTCTTGGGCCATACGAAAGAATCAACTTAAAAATTAGCCTACTATGTTTGGCCAGGCTAATTTGGTGAGGTATTTGATGTTAGCTGGTATTGATTTTGAGGGCCTTATACAGCCCTCAGGCCAGATCTTTCCCACCCTTGATAGTCATTTACCAATATTTAGGGGAGGAGTATAAACGGGTTAGGAAATAAATCTGTTTTTGAGTAGCTATATTATTCTAGTACAATACTAGGAAGTCCACAAGCTACATTATTTATTTCTTAATATAGCCCTATAAGTATTGTTAAACTCATTTTGCTGCAGAAAAAACTAAAGCTCAGAGAAGTAAAGTAACTGACTCAAGATCAAGACAAGAAGTGACAGGGATAGTGCCCAGATCAAATCTGTGAGCCCAAAGCAGGATAGAGGGTGTCATTGCAGAGGAGGTGTTCACTCTGAGCCTTGAAGGCAACCCCCTACACAGAATATCAGGTCAAACCAGCCATGCCAGAGGCTGCCAAACCCTTTCCAAGAACATTAGGTTTTGATTGCTGAGTTATAATCCTAACACTTCACTATCACAAAATCAAAAAATCTGTCACTTAGAGACAGCTTTTACTGTGTTAAAAATGGATAGAACAATCCCTGCCCTGTCTAAATCATGGGGTTATTGTGAAGAATAAGAAAAAAAGAAATAAAATGGAAAACATAGATATGGTATCGCAAAAAGATGAGAGACATTATAGGTATCAAGGCACTAAACCATCACTTCTGAGTGTAGAAGGATGAAGAGCTCAGGTCTTATTCTCTACATTAAATTTGGGTGGACTTTTAAAAACACGTATCCTGCCCTAGCCAGTTTGGCTCAGCAGTTAGAGCATTGGCCACGGACCAGAGTCCCAGGATCGATTTCCGCTAAGGGCACATACTTCGGTTGAGGTTTGTCCCCGGCCCTGGTTGGAGTCATGCAGGTGGCAACCAATCGATGTGTCTCTCTCATGTTGATGTTTCTCTCTCTTTCTTCGTCCCTCTCCCCCTCCCGCTCTATCTGAAGATAAATACAAAAATATTCTCGAGTGAGGATAAAAAATAAAAAATAAATAAAATACACGTATCCCCTGCTCACAACACTCCCAGAGCTTCCTATTATACTATAATACCATCCAAACTGCTTGCTGTGGCCCATAAGATCCTAGATGATCAACTCTGCCCCACCTTTGACCTCATCCCAATCTACACACTGATTCCATTTCTGAACTCCAGCCACACTGGCCTTCTTTCTGTTTCTAGAACATAACCAAATTTGTTCCCACCATAAGAGCTTTGTACTTCCTGGTTCTTCTGCCTCAAATAATTTTGCCCGCCAGATGTACATATGGCTGGCTCTACCTCTTCATTTAGGAGACAGCTCAAATTACCTTTGCTCAAAGAGGTCTTCTCTAACCACTCTCCCATCTCAGTTTCTAAAACATTTTTCTTTTTATTACCTTCAAAGCTCTTACCACTAAATTAAATCATCATTCTTTATTTATTGTTTATTACCTAACTCATGTCACTAGAATGTAAGATACAGGAAGGCCAGAGCCTTAATTGTACTAATCATTGTGGCACATAGTAAGTGCTCAATAAAATTTTTTGTGTTGATTAAATCCATTTCTGTATTTTGATTCTCATTGTTACCATTCTTGCTCAAAATTTTCAAAGGCTCCCCACTGTTTAGAAGATAAAGATATTTTAGTATAACATAAAAAAGCTTCATAATTTGAAATATTCCATTCCAAACTTACCACATACCATTTATGAACTTATATGTCACTAAATTCAACATTGAAAATGTGTTTGTCCATAAACACACCCATGCTTCACTATCTAGACTTCTGACCACCTTATTCTTCCTACTCACAATCCCTTGCACAATCATTTATATATGTGGATCATCACTTCCAAAGGCAAGAATTCCAAGACATTAATAAAAATAGCTAATATTTATTGAGTACTAATTGTGTGGCAAGCCCATTTCTAAGTGTTTTCCACATATTATCTCTTCTGTCCTCACAACAAACCTCACTGGTGGATACTATTGTTATCATCTCCATTATTCTATTGAGGAATCTAAAGCACCAGAATATTAATTATCCTGCCCCAAGTTTGCACAGTGGTAAAGCTCTAATTTGGTGATAGTCACTGGTGAAGCCATAAACTGAATCCAGGCAGTCTTTCCCAGACCTAAGATCTTAGTTAGCTCTTATGCTCTATGCTATAGTCTGTACCCTGAGCAGAAATGGGGTCATGAGAATTATCTACATCAGTTCACATGACCAGTGGAAGGGCAGAATTGGAATTAGGACCCAAACATACTCCCAGGCTCTGGTCCACGGATTTTTCAATTATACCACATTGTCTTGAATGTCATAATTCCCATGAAGCCTCCCTTTACCTTTCCTTCTGTGCCCTTCTTTATAGCTCTTGTGTGACTTGCAACTCATCCCTACATAATAAATATCTGTCAAATCAATTCACTCTTCTCCATCTTTACCATCACACCTCTAATCCAGGCCTCCAACATGCAGTGAGGCTAGGCCACATGCCACCAGTCAGCCTTACCAGAGTTCTTCAATAATAAAGGAGCACCTTGCTTCCCACTGGCTGTTTTATTCTCATAAGCAGAGCTCCTTTGAAGGCATAGGTATCTCCCTGAATTAGTTTTGTCCCTTCCAATACACCCTCCACAAGATCAAATCATCATTCCAAACCATAGCTCAGACAATATCTCGAGATTAGAATCTTTTGGAACGGTTCATTCCTTATAGGCAGATGTCGGATTCTAAATACCACACAACATCTGTCCATCTTCCATTCTGGGTTCATTTCCCATCACTTCTCATTCATATCCCCTGCTCCACCTAAAATAAACCTCATACCAATGCCCTTTGTCTCTTCCTCCAATGCCTTTTCTTTTTCCATCCCCATATTCTTCACCTATATAATTCTTAACCACCTTTCCGCTTCTAAATAAAGTTATTTTCAACCCTTCCCTTGACATATGGGTGTATGTGTGCATGCAGGCACACACACACAGTTATAGCACCTCTCTCCCCATACTGACATAGCGTGTGTACCTGTCCTTTCATCCAGTAGACTGAACTCCTTGACAGTGAGAACCATGCCTGAGGCACTTCTGTTATCCCCAGTCACTAGCATAGAAGCCAAATATCCAGGCAGAAAAGATACAGGGGACAGAACACTCCTGCCTAATCCAGGGAAGCCTCCCATTTTCCACTCCTTTCTTTGTGTTCTCCATCTCAGGCATAAAATATTAGTGATTCAGTTGGTCTCAGACCTTAGCTGGACCATGTTTGCAAGTAAGTGAAGGTACACGGTGTGGCCATCTTCTTCTCACTTCAGTATGCTCATCATTTCATCTCTTACATCATATAGCCCAACAGAGGATCCCAACATATGGCATAGAGAAGAAAAGAGCACTCAATGAGGCTAGAACACATGCCACCACTCAGCTGTACCAGAGTTGTTCTTTAGGGAAAATCTGGCCTTAGCCTGACCAATAATAAAGAGCACCTTGCTTCCCACTGGCTGTTTTTTTGTTTTGTTTTATTTTCTCACAAGCAGAGCTTCTTTGGGAAACTCACAATGAAGAGAAAATTAAATATTCAGACATTCCTGTAATCCTTAGTCAAAAACATCTAATTTACTCAAATCTTACTTTTCTTCAAGGGTCACTGAATGAATAAAAGCAAAAGTGAGCCTGGCTGGTGTGGCTCAGTGGTTGAGCATCTACCCATGCAGCAAGAGGTCAATGGTTCAGTTCCTGGTCGGGGCACATGCCCAGGTTGTGGGCCAAACTCTCAGTATGGGGCATATCAGGAGGTGGCCAGTTAGTGTTCTCTCTCATCAATGTTTTTATCTCTCTCTCTCCCTCTCCCTTCCTCACTCTCTAAAAATAAATAAGAAACATAAAAAAAAAAAAAGCAAACTTCTGGTCAAGATGGCGGTGTAGGTAAACGCGTTATCGTGTCCTCCCACAACCACATCAAAGTTACAACTAAACTACAGAACAACCATCATTCTAAACCGCCTGAAATCAAGCTGAATGGAGGTCCTACAACTACGAAAATAAAGAAGAAGCTGCATGGAGACTGGTAGGAGGGGCGGAGGCAGAGGGGCTGGTCCCACACCCACCTGTGGTGGGTAAAAATCAGGAGGACACCTCAGCTGTGAAGGTCTTCCTTCAGGACTGAGGGGTCCCCGTCCCACACCAGGTGCCCAGTTGAGGGTTCCAGTGCCAGGAAGAAAAGTCCCCATAACCTCTGCCTGGAAAATCAGCGGGAACTGGGACTCAGGGAGGCTGAGGTGGCTGGAGCCCCGGCAGCTCCTCTTAAAGGGCCCGCACACTGACTTATTAGACTCACTCCAAGCTTGGAGGGGAGGCAGCTCAGGGGCACCAGAGACATACAGGGAAGAACTGAGCTGTTTGGCACAGGAACGAGGGCTGGAGAGGGGGCTTTTTCCAGGACAGACATGCAGTCAGAGGCCTTTGTTCCTTTGGTGAGCCCTTCCCTGGGACGGAAGACACCCACCATGTCTGGGACTCCAGCAATTTGGCTCACACTGGTTGCCCCACCCTGGTGATTCCGTGAGGCCCACCCAAGTTGTTGCCAGTTGGTTAACTATAGAATTAGCCTATCTCGGATCCAGGTTCAGGTTTTCCTAAATTCTTTCAAACAAGCAGCATCTGGTCTCAGATAGCTCCATACCTCTTGTTAAGTAATACTCAGAAACAAACACAGGGAGGCAGCCAAAATGAGGAGACAAAGAAACAGGTCCCAAATGAAAGAACAGAACAAAACCCCAGGATAAGAACTAAGCGAAATGGAGATAAGCAACCTAACAGATGCTGAGTTCAAAATACTGCTTATAAGGATGCTCAATGAACTTAGTGAGAACCTCATGAACTTAGTGAGGGCCTCAAGAGCATAAAATCGGACCAGTCAGAAATGAAGGAGGCACTAACCGAAATAAGAATAATTAACACAGATTCAATTGTAGAGTAGGTAAAGTCAAGAGGCAAACCATCAATTGGAATATAAGGAAGCAAAAAACGCCCAATCAGAACAGCAAAAAGAAAAAATTATCCAAAAAAATGAGGATAGTGTAAGGAGCCTCTGGGTCAACATCAAGCGTGCCAACATTTGCATCTTGGGGGTGCCAGAAGGAGAAATGAGAGAACAAGAAATCGAAAACCTATTTGAAACAATAATGGCAGAAAACTTCCCCAACTTGGTTAAGGAAACAGACATACACATCCAGGAAGCACAGAGAGTCCCAACCAAGAGGAACTCCAAGAGGCCCACACCAAGATACATCATCATTAAAATGCAAAAGGTTAAATACAAAGAGAGGATCTTGAAAGCAGCAAGAGAAAAGCAGTTAGTTACCTTCAAGGGAGTTCCCATTAGACAGTCAGCTGATTTCTCAAAAGAAACTTGCAGGCCAGAAGGGAGTGGTAAGAAATATTCAAAGTGATGAAAAGCAAGAATCTATACCCAAGATTACTCTATCCTGCAAAGCTGTCACTTAGAATCACTGGCCATATAAAGAGTTTCCCAGACAAGGAAAAGCTAAAGGAGTTCATCACCACCAAACCATTATTATATGAAATATTGAAGGGTCTTTTTGAAGAAAAAGATAAAAATATGAACATACAAAATGGCAATGAATACATATCTATCGACAATTGAATCTACAAACAAAATGAACAAGCAGAACAGAAACATTCTCCTAGACACAGAGAACATTTTGTTGGTTGCCAGATGGGAGGGCGTTTGGCGGGATGGGTGAAAAAGTTGAAGGGATTAAGAAGTACAAATTGGTTGCTAGACTGACAAACCTCAAAGAGAAGGGGGGTTGGGAGGGTGGGAAGAAATAAACCAAAGAACTTATATGCATATATGCATAACCAATGGACATAGACAACAGTGTGGGAAAAGACAGGAGGGGGACGGGAGTGGGGAGGAGAGGGTCAATGGGGGAAAAATGAGGAACATCTGTAATACATTCAACAATAAAGATAAAAAAATTTTAAAAAGAATATTTTAAATAAAATAAAAATAAATAAATAAATAAATAAATAAGCAAAAGTGAGTGAATGGCTAAATGAATGATATAAAAGAGGTAGTAAGAAAAAGGAGAAGTGAAGAATAAAAATGAAAAAAAGAAACACATATTTCAGTAAGGTTAACTGTCTCCAGAATTGTGGCAAACCTTTCATGGGAGAACTAGAGCCCAAGCATGCCCAGTTCTGGAGACTAGTGAGCCCTCATGACGGCAGGGACCAGCCCATCTTCCCCACATCTCAGGGAGTGTGGTCTAGCTCCTTCCTATCTGACTGTACCCAAGAACAGCAGCAGGTTCCACATCTAGCTTTTTTCTTCAGCTTGGTTTTCCAATGGCAGCTATAGCAACCAGTAATGCAGGTGATGTAGCATTCGTAGTTGAAGATGTGTACAATCCATGGCTTACTCTTTTTCTCTGTTGTCTTCTGGCTATTTACCTCAATCCTGTTGACCTTAAGCATCGTTCACCCTTTTGATGGAATGACAAATAAAACAATGAGGATTTAGTAGCGCCTTTATGTTTCCTACCCCACCAATCTACAGAAAATTATATTAAAAAATTAATTTTTAAAAATTTATAATTTATGATAATGCACTGGATTCAGTGCAGAAGATTAGAGCTTCATCCCATCTTTCCCAATAACTTGATGAGTGTTTATTGCAGTCATTGCACCGTTTAGTTTTCTCACCTCTAAAATGGGACCATATTCTCTGTACTAGCCAACTAATAGATGCAGAAAGCTTCACATTAGATAATATATATAAATATATCTCTTAAACTATAATACGCTCTTGGAATAACTTGAGAACTTAGAGGCATGGGTGAGGTATATGAAAAATACAACCCCTGACTACTAAGTGACTCACCTACATAATTGCCTGCCCCTTCCCTTTCTGTCCTCTCCCATATGGAGTCAGTGAGGGTTAGCCTCAATTAGGAATGATGGGAATCGGAGAGAAAAAAATGGCGGCAGAGTGAATGAAAGCTACACAGACCATCTCCCAGGACCAAACTGAAATTACAACGAAAATAAAGACAAATCGTCAGGAAGGGGCAACTGGAAGGCAGCTTGGAGGACCACATAACCAAGGACACAGACTCAATCCTGGTAGGCTTGCGAGGACGTGAGAGGGGGCCGAGAGCCCATGGTCTGCAGTGTCCTGGGCTGGGACCAGCGGACTCAGCTGGGACCAGGGGACTCAGCTGAAAGCTGCGCCCTCGGCTGGGTCCTGTGGCCTCGGCTGAGACCAGCAGCTGCCTCAGCTGGATCCTGCAACCTCGGCTGGGTGCTACGCCCTCAGCTGGTGCTGCAGCCTCGGCCGCCCTTACCTCGGAGCAGCGCCCCCGGGTTAAAGTCACAGGCGGATTCACGACACAGAGCCCAGACAGAGGCTAAATTGGCAGCAGCCACTCACCTTGGGCTCTGGCAGAGGGAAGGCAGACTGAACTGGAACTGTGTGGGGACACTCGGATTTGGAGGGTGCTCATAGCTTGTGCTGAGTGCAGCCACACAGGACTGTGGTCATCTTACTCCTTCCCAGGGCCATTGGGAGAGGCAGCGGCCCCTCCCTCGGAGATTCAACCCCACCTGGTGGCCATTGAAATGCTAATTGAGGCCCATTAACAACCAGTATCTGCTCCACCCTCAGGAAATCCTCTTACACTGAGCACCTGAGGGAGTTTTTCAGTCAACTCAGAAACCAAGGTTCTTCAGGTGACCCCTACTAATAGCCTCCAGGCAAAAAAGCTAGAGGATAACTACCATTCCTTGGGCTAGCAACTCTAACTAGGAAAGTTAAGACTTGACAGTGGTGTTTAAAGTGGCTCCTCCCTGCCTCATCCAAACCCAGGAGAGGGAGCCACAAACAGCAGAACACCAACACCCACAGAGAAAATTTGGCAGACTCCAAAGCCCACTGTGATAGCCAAAATGGTGAAAAACAGAAACAAAAGCAAAATGAAATAACAAGAGACCTCTACCGAAGATGAGATAAATGAGGGCCAGTTAAGCAAGTTAACAGAACTAGAATTCAGAGCCATGATCTTGAGGAAGCTCAACAGCATGTGTAAGGACATGAGCACCATGAGTAAAGACATAGAAATGTTGAAAAGTAACCAGTTGGAAATTAAAAACCACCAAGAAGAAATGAAGAATGACATATCAGAAATGAAAAACACATTGGAAGGTCTAAAAAACAGAGTAGAGGAAGCTGAGGACTGGATCAGTAAATTAGAAGACAAGGTAGAAAAACCTCAACCAATCAGAAAACCAAAAGGAAAAAACGATTAAAAAAAAGGAAGACAGCTTAAGAGAACTGTGGGACAACTGGAAATATAATAATATTCGCATCATAGGAGTCCCCGAAGAAGAAGAAAATGAGCAAGGGTTAGAGAATATATTCAAAGAAATAGTGACAGAAAACTTCCCTAATTTGGTGAAGGAAGAAGGCATTCAAGTTCAAGAAGCTCAGAGAGCCACAAGTAAGAAGAACCCAAACATGCCCACACCAAGACACAAAGTAATCAAAGTGCCAAAAATTAAAGACAAAGAGAGAATCCTAAAAACAGCAAGAGAGAAGCAACAGGTTACCTACAAAGGAAACCCCATAAGGCTCTCAGCTGACTTCTCACAAGAAACACTACAGGCCAGAAGGGAATGGCATGAAGTAATCAAGGTCATGAAGAACAAGGATCTGAATCCAAGACTACTCTACCCAGCAAGGCTATCATTCAAAATAGAAGGTCAAATAAAGAGCTTCCCAGACAAAAAAAAGAGCTAAGGGAATACATTAGCACCAAACCATCACTGCAAGAAATGTTAAAAGGACTGCTGTAATTAGCAGGAGAAATGGGAAGAAAAATAGAACCACACTAAACAAAAATGGCAATAAATAAGGACATATCAACAATCACCTTAAATGTAAATGGATTGAATGCTCCCATAAAAAGACACAGAGTAGCTGATTGGATAAGAAAGCATGACTCATCTATATGTTGTTTACAAGAGACCCACCTCACAACAAAAGACTCACATAGGTTGAAAGTGAAGGGATGGAAAAAAATCTTCCAAGCAAACGAAAAGGAAAAAAAGGGCTGGGGTAGCAATACTCATATCTGATAAAAAAAAGACTTCAGAATGAAGGCCATAACTAAAGACAAAGAAGGCCACTACATAATATTGAAAGGATCTCTCCAACAGGAAGATAAAACCTTGATAAACATATATGCACCCAATATAGGAGAACCAAAATATATTAAAAATCTTCTGGAGGACTTCAAAGGAGAAATCGATAGCAATACAGTCATAGCAGGGGACTTCACCACCCCGCTGACATCACTGGATAGATCCTCTAGACAAAAAATTAGCAAGTAAACAGAGACTCTAAATGAAGCACTAGACCAAATGGATTTAATAGATATCTACAGAGAATTACATCCCAAAACTACAGAATTCACATTCTTCTCCAGTGCACAAGGGACATTCTCAAAGATAGACCACATGTTAGGGCACAAACTAAGTCTCTACAAGTTCAAGAAGATTGAAATCCTATCAAGTATCTTCTCAGATCACAATGGCATGAAAGTAGAAATCAATTGCAAGAAGAACATACAAAGACATTTGAACACATGGAAGCTAAATAGCATGTTATTAAACAATGAATGAGTTACTGAGGACATCAAGGAAGAAGTTAAAAACTTTCTGGAAACCAATGAAAATGAAGACACAACAACACAAAATCTATGGGATGCAGCCAAAGCAGTTCTGAGAGGGAATTTCATAGCATTACAGGCCTACCTCAAAAAAGAAGAAAAATCTCTAATAGACTATCTAACGTCACAACTTAAAGAACTAGAGAGCAAACAAAAAGAAAACCCCAGAGCAAGTAGAAGGAAGGATAGTAAAGATCAGAGTAGAAAGAAATGACATAGAGACAAAAAAAAAAAAAAACAATTCAAAGAATCAATGAAACAAAGAGCTAGTTTTTCAAAAAGATAAACAAGATTGATGGACCCTTAGCTAGACTCACCAGAAAACAAAGAGAGAGAACCCAAATACACAAAATCAGAACTGAAAGAGGAGAAGTAACAACTGACACCACAGAAATACCAAAGATCGTTAAAACTACTATGAACAATTATATGGCAACAAATTCAACAATCTAAGGAAAATGGACAAATTTCTAGAAACACATAGTCTCCCAAAACTGGACCAGGAAGAGACAGAAAACTTGAACAGACCAATAACAACAGAAGAAATTGAAGATGTAATCGAGACTCTCCCAGCAAACAAAAGCTCAGGCCCAGATGGCTTCACAGGGGAGTTTTACCGAACATTCAAAGAAAAACTAACACCCATTGTCCTCAAACTATTTGAAAAAATTCAAGAATAAGGAAGACTTCCAAACTCATTTTATGAAGCCAGCATAATTCTCATTCCAAAACCAGAAAAAGACACTACAAAGAAAGAAAACTATAGGCCAATATCCCTGATGAACATAGATGCCAAAATCCTGAACAAAATACTAGCAAATTAGATCCAGCAATATACCAAAGAAATTATCCACCATGACCAAGTGGGATGCATCCCAGGGATGCAAGCCTGGTACAATATTCACAAATAAATAAATGTGATACACCACATAAATAAAATGAAGAATAAAAACCACATGATCATATCAATAGATGCCAAAAAAGCCTTCGACAAAATCCAGCATCCATTTCTGATAAAAATGCTCAGCAATGTGGGAATAGAGGGATCATATCTAGACATAATAAAGGCCGTATATGAAAGACCTACAGCCAACATCATATTCAATGGGCAAAAACTAAAAGCATTTCCTTTAAGAACAGGAACAAGGCAAGGATGCCCACTTTCGCCACTCTTATTTAACATAGTACTGGAAGTCTTAGCCACAGCAATCAGACAGGAAGAAAAAATAAAAGGGATCCAAATTGGAAAGGAGGAAGTGAAACTATCATTATTTGCAGATGACATGATACTATACATAGAAAACCCCAAAGACTCCATCAAAAATTTACTAGACTTAATAAATGAATTTGGCAAAGTAGCAGGATACACAATTAACATCAAGAATTCGATGGCATTCTTGTACACCAATGATGAACTCACAGAAAGAGAAACTAAAAAAACAATCCCATTTACCATTGTGGCAAAAACATTAAGATACCTAGGAATAAACTTAACCAAAAAAATAAAGGACCTATTCGCAGAAAACTACAGGTCATTGAAAAAAGAAATAGAGGAAGATATAAAATGTGGAAGCACATACCCTGTTCATGGATTGGAAGAATTAACATCATTAAAATGTCCATATTACCCAAAGCAATCTATAAGTTCAATGCAATCCCTATCAAAATACCAACGGCATACTTCACAGAATTACAACAAGTACTTGAAAAGTTCATGTGGAAACAAAAAAGACGTCAAATAGCCACAGC